ACGTTCTCTCGACCTCTCCAACAACTCTCTCGATGGCTCTGTTCCTACTTGGCTCTGGTCTAAACCGGGTCTCGTCTCCGTCAATCTTTCCCGAAACCGGTTTGGTGGTTCGATACGAGTGATTCCTGTTAATGGTTCGGTTTTTTCATCGGTTAAGAATCTGAACCTCTCGTACAACCGGTTCACTAACGCGATAAACTTAACCGGATTCGTTAACCTCGCATCTCTCGACCTCTCTCATAACAATCTCGGTCTTTTACCTCTTGGTTTGTCCTCTCTCTCCGGTTTACACCATCTCGATATCTCGCGATGTAAAATCAACGCCAGTGTTAAACCGATTTCCGGTTTAAAATCGTTGGATTACTTGGATTTATCGGAAAACTCAATGAACGGTTCGTTCCCGGTAGATTTTCCTAATCTCAACCATCTCCGGTTCTTAAACGTATCTGCAAACCAGTTTTCCGGTTCGGTAAAATTTGATAAATACCGAAAATTCGGTAAATCGGCGTTCATACACGGCGGCAATTTCGTATTCAACGATTCAAAAATCCCTTCCCGCCACCGTCTTCATCCTCTCCTTCACCGGAATCCACCGCCACATCATCGAATCGTCAAAACGCATCGTTTTAAACGCACTCCGTTGGTGATTGGCTTATCGTCTTCGCTAGGAGCTCTGGTTATCCTAATCCTCGTCGTCGCCGTGATTCAAATCCGTCGGCGATCGAAATCAGCGAGGACGAAATCGAAATGGGCGATTTCGAGTCCTGCACCGTTGGATTTCAAGATGGATAAATCTGGACCGTTCGCTTTCGAAACGGAGTCTGGTTCGTCGTGGGTCGCGGATATAAAAGAGCCAACGGCAGCGCCGGTCGTGATGGCGTCTAAGCCGTTAATGAATCTGACTTTCAAGGATCTGATTGTTGCCACGTCACATTTCGGAACGGAGTCCGTTATATCTGACGGCACGTGTGGTCCTATTTACCGTGCTGTTTTACCTGGAGATTTACATGTGGCAATAAAAGTGCTTGAACGGATCAGAGACGTCGATCAAAACGATGCCGTTACGGCGTTTGAAGGTTTAACTCGGCTTAAGCATCCAAATCTTTTGACTCTCTCCGGTTATTGCATCGCAGGTACTGATTAATTATTTCTCCGTGTTTGTTTTTTTTTTATATACTAATAATGACTTAAGGTTCTGAAATTGACTTTGAAACCCTAGCTGGAATAACTAAGCAGTGACCAAGTAGCAGATGTAGTACATAAAGTTTTTTTTATGCATGTACAATAATAGTATATGGTTTTCATATACTCTATATGACTTTACTAGACATAAATGATAAATGTAACAAAGTGTTTTTCCTTCTTTTGACAAAATTTCTAAACTAAGTATTAACGCTAAAAACCTGACAGATTTTCTGGGCAGGAATATTTCATGCACAAAATTAGAAAGAAACAGCTGACCATTTTTTTGAAACAATGAATTATTCAACTTATTTATAAATGTTATCAGTATCTTCTTAATTTATATTTGCTTAGAACTTTCTGGCTTGGTTGCTGGATTAAGCTTAAATTGGACTTAAGACTAGAATATGACTTATATTTTCCCTCTTTTTTTTTGAACACATGACTTATATTTTCCTATCATTATTTTTTTGCTGGGTGTTGATATTTCATAACAACAAAATATCGAGTCGTAGACGTCACTTAATGAATTTTTGTCTCTACTTTCACGGGTTTCTGGAAAAAACCATTAATGAGGCATTAAATGCTGAACGGTGTCGTATTCATTAGGAGTTACAGACGAAAAAGGTCAGTTGCATGATCATGATACGTCACGTAAAAAATCTAAATATTTGTGCGCCATGATTGCAATTTTTATGAATTTTCCTGACATTGACGTAAAAATGTATGATTATTCCAAAAAGTTACTCAGAAATAAAGTAATGTTTGTGTGATAGATTTCTTATGACTTATTTTTAGGGTTTATCATTTAGCCCTTTTATGATTGGACTAGGACGACTTTAGAAAATGTTCAGACAAGTCACATCTTTGTTTGGGACTCGAAGTGATTATAGCTTGTCGGATTTTTTCAGCAACATTTTATCTTATGGATTATGGAATATGCTATATTTATATATTTTCAGGTCTTATTAATATTTACCATGTTCCTCCTAAGTATAATATGAGTTACGGATTTAGTTTTCGTTAGAATAACGAATTATGATTTTAAAATATTTCCTTTTATTCATATTTTCAGATAGAATAACGAAATTTTGTGCTTTAATTTGTTGTTTTAGGAAAAGAGAAGCTTATATTATATGAATTTATGGCTAACGGAGACCTTCACCAATGGCTTCACGAGCTCCCGGCGGGAGAAACGAACGTGGAAGATTGGAGCGCCGATACATGGGAGAGTCACGTCGGAGATTCATCACCAGAGAAAACAAACTGGCTAATACGTCACCGTATCGCCATTGGAGTTGCACGTGGTTTAGCCTATCTACATCATGTTGGTACCACACATGGTCACTTAGTCGCTACCAACATCCTCTTAACCGAGACCTTAGAGCCAAAAATCTCTGATTTTGGTATCAACAACATCGCAAAAGCCGAGAACGATACTAATAGTAACAATGTAGAGTTCGATGTGTATTGTTTCGGAGTGATTTTGTTTGAGCTGTTGACCGGGAAGCAAGGGAGTGAGGAACATGTCAAATCGGTTCGACGGTTGTTTAAGGAAAGGAGAGGAGAGGAAGCTCTTGACTCGAGATTGCGGTTAGCTTCTGGAGAATCGGTTAATGAGATGGTCGAGAGTCTTAGAATTGGTTATTTTTGTACGGCGGAAACGTCAGGGAAACGACCAACAATGCAACAAGTGTTGGGTCTACTTAAAGACATTCGTATCGTTTCGCGTTAAGTTAGGAAACAAAGTGTATTAGATTCGGATGTTGTTATGGAGATATATATGTGCGAGACAAATGCGTTTTGTCAAGCTATTATATGTTTTTGTTTGAAGTTATAGAAAACAAAACTTGCTAGTTCTGTTCATTAATGTGAGTGTTTTGTTAAAAGAAGAGCAGAATGATATTATGATATATATCCAAACTGATATGTTTCATTTTCAAATTCAAAAAATATTTATAAGGGTTTTTGTCAATGTTTAAGTTCTTGCTTAAATAGTTTCACAAATTGTAAAGATAAAAGTACATACTTAGTCATGAAGAAGATTTGGTAGCGATGCTTTTTATATATGGTGCTAATTACGACATGCATTTTATTTTTAGCAAAATTTATAGTTTTGTTTTGTTCTTATGAAATCTTGTAAAACGTACCCAAGACAGCTGGCTCAACTAAAAAGGATCCGAGGCAGTTGTGTTAGAGATCCCCCCTCGAGCACGCTTGATAACATGAGGAGGTGATTAATCAACCGATCTTTGTCCCGGCTCTAGGGGGATTAGTCAGGCTGTAAGGTTCGGACCACCTCCTAATCTACAAAAACAAATCTTGTTAGACTTCGCTCATGTATTGGGTGAAAAGATGCATAGTTTTGATCCAAATATCAAAAAATGCAAATTGTCCATAGAATATTACTAAAGATATCCAAAGAAGTGTTTTAATATTTTATTCAATAAATAAACTTATTGAAACATATTAGTAGAAATTAAACATTTATCCATATATTCTACTCGCACAAATTTTTGTTTGGAGTCGTACTACTCCACGATGGAATAACATAGAGAGGGAAAATGTTAGATGGGAAAGACAAAACGAAGTTGGTAAGGTGGGGAAGTATTTGGTAAGATAATGCTCGTAAGAAGCTGCTGAGTTTATTTGTTTTTTTGTTCGTTTTTTTCAACGACGTTTTATGCATTTTCTAGTCTAAGTACTAAAATCGGATAAAATAGTTGGAGACGAGCCCTTCATCTTACAAATAAAAATAATACTATGAATATTAATGGATTTCTTACAAATATACTTGTGCAATCATTTTATTTTAAATTATATTTAAGACTTACATCCTCATACTATCACTAGAGAGGTTCTAAGTGAAACTTACACCAACTACATTCTATTGTAATTTCAATTTAGTACTAGAGATTTTCTCTTTGCTATTGTATTTTCTGATACAACAACAACACTATCCCAAAATGCTAATAATGTACATATATTCGCAAATAAATTAGACTCTTATCCTGGCTGCCTTCGATTTGTTTTATACGTTCCACAATTTTTTCTCTTTTCTCTTTGTTTTGTTATGAATTCCACTTTATTCCGCTTTCACTCTTTTTGTTTTTATATTAATTAACATGTTTTCTTCTTTCTATAATCTTATTTCGATGTGGATATTCTTCTCATTCACACTAAAAGAGATAACCCAAAGTACTTGAGTCTTAGCACTTCCGTTACGTCTATTTCTTCACATCCTTTCATTCTCTTCTTGACTTTCCTTTTCACCCTTTTGATTTGATTAAAACTTTCACTTTCTCTTTTAGTCGTAAATAAAACATTTCCTTTGAATTTTTATTCTTCTCACTTTTGTTCTTCTTTATATGGTACTTAACGTCCGCATCATGTATTCCGCTCTGTTATTCTTGAAACAAGTAGTTACAGGTTCTATAAGATCAAATAATATTTAAGGAATTATTATAATGTGTTTTCCCTTGTAAACAAATCTAGAATTTATGTTTACCAAGTAAAATGCTATTAGAGTTAGAGCCTTTTCTACAAGACATAGCGTTATGGTTTCCTTAAGTAATAGAATGAGTTAGAATTGGGCCTTAATAAATGTGAGCCCACACCAAAGCTGATCTGATGATTCTCTTTTTGCTGGGAGTGTATTTTTTTGGTTCCGTTGTCTTCTGTTTAAGAACTTCAAAATTTTCTTCAGTGTTATACACTTCTAATAGATTTTTCTTCTTTGCTGTAGTTTTTTTTTTCACCAAAGTTAGTCTACAAGTTGATATCAGAACATAACAGGAGACAATTAGGTCTAATTTCTTGCATCAAACCGGAACATAAGATAGAACAAGACAGGCTCCAAGAATGGGGAACTCAGAAGTAAATATATTTTCAAAACAATTTTAAGATTGCTCAAAAAAGAAAAATAAAATCTATGATCAAAACCCATCAAACAGTTTCCTTTTTGCTACAATTTAATCCACATCACACATATGGCCACAAAACTAAAATGTGTAGAGACATAAGACAGGAAGAACCATTGAGAATTTGAGAGGACTAGAATAATAAGCAGATCACATCACTCTTTTGCAGAAGACTTTAAAAAACAAGCTACATTCCCTCCACAAGTAATCTTCTACTTTCTAATTACATTCCTCTGCCTCTACTTAGAATGTCGACTGTAAGCAAAGTTTTAACTAACTTTTTATATCTCTTACGACAGTTTCTGCGACTCCTGCCCACATCAGTATCATTGTCCTCCACTTCTCTCCAACCTTCTTACAACAACTTCAATCTGATTTCACTTGAAACTTCCATACATGATGGGAGTTTTGCTCAAACTCCACTGCTTCTACAATCTTGTTCAGCTTTCATTTGAATCATTTCCCCAGAATTGGTAAGACCCAGTCTCCATCTCTCTCTCCTTCCCAATCTTCATCATACCTTATCTCAACATCTTTCTCCTCCTCATGAGTTTGTACCAGTTCCTTAGAGTGCCGCCTTTCCAACAACACAAGCTCCAGCATCTTCCTCCGCACATTGTAAACCGGATTCGGCTCAATCAAACACCCTTTACTATAAGCTTCTCTAAGAAACAAAGTCTGCGTACTTCCTTTAGTCGATACATAGAAAATCCCAGGATGCTTCAATATCACTTCCCTCAAGTTCACTTCGATCCCAAGATCCTTACGAAAATGAGCTAGTCTCTCAACTTCAACCATCTTCTCCACAGTCAAGCTCAGAAGCTCGTGGATAACTGCAACAACTCTCTTCTCAAACCTCTCTACACTTCTTGAAATCTCCTTTCTCTCGTAAGGCTTCACATAAGGAACTCTCTGCCAGCTCCTTAACCCTTCTCTGAACCCTTTCTCAATCTTGAAACCTGTAGGAAGATTAATAGGAAACGCGTAGTTCGTCTCAAACTCACTCAACCATTTCTCTCTGTACTCAACTTCTCTCCACTCCTCAACTTTAGCCACACACAAACTCTCATCATCATTACCATTACCATCAACTAGCTCCAAAGTCTCCAAATCAATTAACCTGAACTCTGAAGTATACTTAGCCAAAACAGAATCTCGAAAATCCTCAGGCAAACCTAATTCTTTTCTCATCAACCTCAAAGCATGAACATTCAGACAACCTTTTCTAGACATCAACAACAACTTCTTTACCCTTCTTACAGCATCAACCTCACACTCTCTAACAACACTCTCTTCTTCCTCAATCAAATCCCTCAGTTTCTCACTAACCCGACAACACAAATTCCTCCGACAAGGATGTCTGAAAATCTCAAAGGCGTGAGGATACTTACCCACGAAAGCTCCAATGCTTACATTCAAACCAACGAGATTCTTCCAGCGAGACATGAGCTGGAGAGAGACGAAAGGACCACGCTTTTTGTTACACATGAGTTTGGTTATCTCGAGGATGATGTTTAGCTTCCTGGTCTGGACAATGAGTTTGTCTAAACGGTTGTCTCGTGTTCGGGACTCTAACCTGGTTTGCGCTGAATCTACGGGCTTTAGCCATCTCCTTTGGTTATAAGAGTAGAGAGGAGATAAAGATGATAACTTTGTTTGAGATAGAGCTTCTCTGATGCTACTGTAGCTCAAAGATTTTAGAGAATTCATGTCTTCTCGGTTGATTTGGGGAAGAGGAAACAGTTTTAAATCGACAAACCCATCAACATTTGGATTCTGGAGTTAGGGTTTCCACTGAATTGCAATCAATTTCTTGGGAGGAAGAAGAATTAGAGCTGTTAATACGGTTATGGTTTAGTAGAGCTAAAGTGTTTTTTATGGTTTATGTGTGCCTGCAGATTTGAACCGAACAGAGATTTTCTGTTTCCAGTTCTGGTTTGTTTAAAATTTGGTTCAGCTCGGTTATTCATTTGGTTCAATAACCAGTTAGTTTGTACAAAATCATACCAATTTAACTAATATCTGAATCAAACTAACTAAAGTTTCAACCCAAACTAACAAAAAAAAAAAGAATTATCCAATTTTTAAATAAAAATATAATAGCTAAAAAACTTTGATAAATTCGATATAATGTTATGAAACATAACGAATGCCGAATATACTAAACTAAACCAAACAAAATTTGTTTTCGGTTAGTTTTGGCATAATTTTTTAATTTAATCCAAAATATAATTAATTGAACAAACTACGAACCGAACCTCCCATACCAGTAAACCCATAAAGAGTTAACGGGTTGGCACGTTTACTGCAAAACAAATATTTTTAAACCTGACCCAGACACTGAACCGAACGATTTACTAAATCATTGGATCATTGGATCGACTGCGGGTGGACCGCAAATTAATAAATGAAATTTTATAACTTAATAATATATTAGTTATAAAAATAAAATATAGAAACTAAAGTTAAATATTTTCTAAATATTCTAAAACATAAAATGTATAAATATAAAAAATATCAAAAAACTAGTTTAGACTATTTATATTTTTATAACAAGTTAAGAGGAATGACATCTAAAAAATCAAGATATAAAATTCATAAATATTTAAATGTCTAATGAGAATAATAAATTCAAATTCAAATCTAAAATAAACCAAAAGTAAAATATCATTGTAATAAATTGTTAATAACAAAAATAAACTAACATCAATCCACATTAACTAATTTTGGTTTTCGCTACCACCTTTCAGTTCATTTTCTTCAGGTGACATAGTGAAATCTTCATCAAAATCTAAAAATCACATATAAAATAGTCTAATAGGTATTATGTATGATAAAAAATTCAGAAAGTTTAATCTAAATTTAAAGGAAAAAACGACAATGCCAATAATTAAAACCTGAAAAATAACTTTTAAATTAGAAATTTAGAATATAAAATAGAAAAAAACATAATTCAAAACTAAAAGAAAAGTAAAAGTTTATTTATTGGTTCAATCGGTATCGGATTTTGGGTTTTAGTGGATTTTTTCGGGTTTTTAACAAAATCTGAACCAGATTTATTTTGGGTCACCAGATTTACCGGTTCAACCGCGGATCCGGATCGGGTTTCAAAACACTGGGCAAAACTGAAATTGAGTGCTACATATTTACAAGTCCTTGTCGGGGATGTAGCTGGTTTGATTAATTTTGTTACTCTTCAAGTAGATAACTTTTATGTTTGGATTGGTATCTTTTATTTTGAATGACATTTGATTGGGCATTCCGTAACATACAATACCATGTTGGAAGTGCCACTATATAGTAGAGTAAGAGGAGAAATAGGCAACATATGGAAAAACTGAAACTCCAACGAAATCTGCCAAAAAAGAAATAAAGAACTGCTAAGAAAACACTGATTCTCTCATAAGTAGAATTTTTAAAATAAATCATTAATATTGTATATACGAGAACATGATTTTACAATGTTACAAAGAGAGAAGGGATAGTTACATTAAATCAGCCTTGAACTTTTTACAATTTATAAAAATTACAAGAAGCCATGAACTCTTGTCCAATAGCTTGCAAGGCAACGAGGTAAATATCCAAAAGCACCTGTATAACTCAGCACACATAAACAAGAGAGGCAACAAACAAATCCAAATCAGATATAAGTGATCAGGAGAGTGAATGAAAGATTTCAGACATCCAAGGAAGGATAGGAGCTGCCTAGCTATCAGGCGAACCACCACTGCGAAGCTTTTGAGAAACAAGCCTTAAGGTTTATCATCATAGATTTTTTTTTAAAAACTGAACCGGCTTCAGACATCCAAGGACTATTTCGTTTGGTCAATTTAATAGAACCAAGAAACTTCTTATGACACACATCGAAAAGGAGACTTGTTAACTTTCACACTCGAATAACAAGAGGAGTTTTGTCGGAACTAGATTACATTACATAGTACTCAACCCTACACAAGTTAACATCCGATTGTTTCTTCTATTGTTTGTGGTTTAACTTCCACAAGAGAGACACTCCTCAGGGTTTGTCAAAGAGCATACCATCTGTGCCATCTTCGTCTCATTGTCTTCTTCCTTTGTTCCTTCATCCTCTTCGGTCACATCTGGCTTCTCCTGCAGCACACACGCAAATGTCAAGTTCGCTCACTAGTAACTACAGGAATCACACAGTGACACAAAAGTGTTGGTTGTTTTACCTTTAGCATTGCTGTGTCTACTGTAAACTTTATTGCATCTGCTGCTGCACGTGATCGGAAGTAGTACATCCCCGTTTTCAAACCCTTTTTAAGATTGTCAACAGTAACAATTTTGTGAGTTTAATGAAACAATGCCATCCTATTATACAGAATCATCAACCTTTTCTACTTACAAATAATCTGAGGAAGTTAGTTTAAGTCAAAGCTTTAAGATAAGTTGATACCTTTTTCCAAGTGTGCAAGTATAAGGAAGTGAGTTTAGCTAAGTTGGGTTTGTCCATGTGTATATTCAAACTTTGGCTTTGATCTATAAAGCATCCACGATCAACGGCCATGTCAACCACTGTTCTCTGCTTAATCTCCCAGACGGTCCTGAGTCATTTGCACACATGTTAAATAATATGAGCACATATTAATAATCATAGCGTAAAAGAATGAGGAAAATCTATACCTGTAAATTGCCTTCAAGTCATCGGGAATCTCCTGGACATTTATAACAGAACCATTTTCATGTATGATCTTGTTTTTGAGCGTAGGAGACCAGAGTCCCATATCAGTCAAGTCGTGAAGAAGGTGCTTGTTCACAACTACGAATTCACCACTGAAAATACAGGAAAAACAAATGATTGAGCCTATGGACAAAACTAGAAACATAACTTTGTGAAGCACTCTTATTAGCTCATACCTCAAGACTCTGCGACTATATATGTTTGAGGTATACGGTTCAAAACATTCATTGTTCCCAAGAATTTGGCTGGTTGAAGCAGTTGGCATTGGTGCTACTAGAAGAGAATTTCGAATTCCATTCTTTGAAATCATATCCCTGAGAGCAGCCCAGTCCCAGCGGTCAGAAGGAATTACATTCCACATGTCAGGTTGAAGAATACCCTATAAGAATCATAAGATACGCCAACCAATCAATTCAACAAGAATTTATGAAAATGTTGAGCAGATATTAAAAAGAAAATTGCAGATTGAGATACATACCATACTCACAGGACTTCCTTGGTATGTCTCATATGCACCTTCCTTAGTAGCAATCTCTGAAGATGACTTAAGTGCATGGTAGTATATGGTTTCAAATATGTCTTTGTTCAATTGTTGAGCCTGAGATTATTGCAAAAGAGCTGCTCAGACCAGAGAACAAAACTATTTAAGAAGCTTGATTCACTTATGCGAAAAGTTACCTCAGGGGAATCAAATGGCATTCCGAGAAGGATAAATGCATCTGCAAGACCTTGAACACCAATACCGATAGGCCTATGACGCATGTTTGAAGTTTTGGCGGTCTCCATAGGATAGTGATTCACATCAATTATCTTGTTGAGATTAACAGTAACGGTTGCAGTCACCTGAAGAAACAGAATATAATCTATCAAAATGACAGACATGGAAATTTATCAAAATGAGATAAGTGATTAAGGGCTGACCTCTGCTAGCTTGTCAAAATCAAAGTAACGATTCTTAGAGCCCAAACTGCCAACAATCTTAGATGGATGTGAGTCCAAGGGGACATCCTGTTGTGAGGGGTAAGACATGTCAAGAGTTCAGCACCAAGTGACAAAGCAAAATCAATCACAGAAACACCATTTTCAACTCACCTTCTCCCTAACAAATCGGGGTAAAGCAATAGATGCAAGATTGCATACGGCAGTTTCTGTTGGACTTGTGTACTCGATGATTTCAGTGCACAAATTGGAAGACTTTATGGTACCAAGATTTTGCTGATTGCTTTTCCTGTTACATGAATCCTACAGTAAATTTTCAAAAGTGAAGAGTGAGAAACCTGATGTTATATAATTATACCAAGTGGCTACATAGTAACGAATGTTTCTTACCTTGAAAAGCATGTATGGTGTCCCTGTTTCAACTTGGGATGTCAAGATTTCGTGCCAGAGCAGCTGTGCCTGGACAACCTTCTTAGCCTTACCCTAAAGATAAAAACAACAGAACTGGTTCAAATCCATAGAAAAGGGAGCATATCTGTTATTATGATAACAAGAGTTTGAATTCTGAAAGTGAAGTAGTAAACTCCAAGATGGAATCACTCACCTCCTTCTCATACTGAGTGTAAAGTCTCTCAAAATCCGCACCCCAACAATCTGGCAAACCTGGAGCTTCATTAGGACAAAAGAGTGACCACTCCTCATCACTCTGGACCCTTTCCATGAAAAGATCTGGTATCCAAAGACCATAAAACAAGTCTCTAGCCCTGTGTTCTTCCTGAAATAGAAAAATAAAACAAAGTGTAATGTAAGAGTGTATTAAACAAACTCCAGATTATATTAAGGGAAAGTGAGTGTTCTCGCGAAGGTACCTTCCCATGATTCTTGCGGAGCTCCAGAAACTCAAAAATGTCAGCATGCCATGGCTCCAGGTATACAGCAAAGGCCCCTTCACCAATTGCAAAATAAAGATAGATAAGACCAGCAGAACAACCAATTCACAAACAAACATGATAACAGTAGCAAATGAAATGTATATACCCTTTCTCTTGCCTCCTCCTTGGTCAACATAACGAGCAGTATCATTAAACACCCGCAGCATCGGAACAATACCATTAGATTCTCCATTCGTGCCACGAATGTAACTTCCAGTTGCACGGATGTTGTGAACAGAAACACCAATACCCCCAGCTGATTTACTAATAACTGCACACTCTTTCAACGTATCATATATCCCCTCAATGCTATCATCCTTCATGCAGATCAGAAAACAGCTGCTTAGCTGCAAACCCAAAACCACACATCAGTAAAACAAACACAGATGCAAAAAAAAAAAAGAAGTAGATACTACAAATTACTTGAGCACGTGGAGTTCCAGAATTAAAAAGAGTAGGAGATGCATGAGTAAACCAACGCTGAGACATTAAATGATAAGTCTGAATAGCAGAATCAACATCCTCTTTATGAATGCCAACAGAAACTCTCATGAGCATGTGCTGAGGCCTTTCAACAACTTTCCCATGGACTTTCAAGAGGTATGATCTCTCAAGAGTCTTGAATCCAAAGTAGTCATATTCAAAATCACGGTCGTAAATAATTTCGCTGTCTAGTCTAGTAGCATTCTGAAAAATAACCAAAAAAAGATGAGTTAAAAAATTCAAAAAGCAAACGTCCACATAGAAATCAAAACACATACAATACCTTGATAATGATCTCAAAAACATCATCCGCAATTAAAGGAGAAGCAAGTCCAGATCTCTTGTTTACATGATTGTACATATCCTTAACCCTAAAGATTACAATCAAAGTCAATTAAAATCAATACACAATCACTGATAAATAAAGTTACTCACGTCTCGGAAAACGATTTCTTAGTGTTCTTGTGGAGATTAGAGACAGCGATCCTTGCAGCTAACTGAACAACATTAAAAACCAAAACAATTCAAAAAAAAAAAAACTTATAATCGAACAATTGAGAAGGCAGTTAAAGAAGCCTCACGGAGGCGTAATCGGGGTGATTAGCGGTCATAGCGGCAGCAGTTTCAGCGGCTAACTCGTCGAGTTGAGTGGTGGTGACGCCTTTGTAAACACCGGCGCAAACTTTCTGGGAGACGAGGACGGGGTCGCAGTGATCGATGCTTAGGCCATAGCTAAGCTTCTTTAGCCGCGCTGTGATCTTGTCGAAACGAACGGTTTCTTGCCTTCCGTCACGCTTCACTACGTACATCTTCGGGTTTTTTTTTTTCTGTGGGGAATTGTGTCGAACGGGTGGTGGGCGTGTGAGTTTTAAATAGATTAGGTGAAGGGAAGCAGAAATGGGAGTTTCAAAATTTTTCTAGGCCTCCTCAAATCTGCTTTTATTGTTATTCTTTAATTGGTGGATTTTGATTTCACCTAGCGCGCGAATGTTTTTAGATTTTTCCCACCAGCTTCCGGGAGAAGGAACTTGAAGCGTTTGCCTCGCTGAATGTGGGCCCCGGATTACTAGGAATGTGATACGTAGCCCGGTTGTTCACATGGGCCCAAATTATTGAGTAAGTCTTGCAAGTAATTTTTTTTGCTCAAATTCAATTTTTCTTTTGATTTCTATAGGTTAGTCCAGTCGGTGCCGGAAGAAATACTATAGTTCTACAAAGTGGACTATCCAAAAATACTTTCAACTAATATCAGATGGATTAATCGTTTGTTACTGTTCATCATATTATATTAACTAATATGGAACGAATCCCAAATTCATATTAGCCAAATAATGATAATTTAGTTTTTATAGTGATCGAACTCATGACTGATATGTATACACATCAAACCATAAAAAGTTACCATTAAACTACCATCTCTTAGTATTTCAACTTTATATTCACTAAAGTACGTAGTCATATTTTATGGATCGGGTTCGAATATAACTTATCAAGTTTTGATTCTAATTTATATCCCATATATATTAAATAAATGAGAAACATTCGTAATGAATGTTTTCACACTATATTTTTTTTTAATATACTCATCACAATTGTTTAACAATTAATGCATTCACACATAAACCATTTAATTTGTTCGCATTCTATTTTCTTAAATCATCTCATTTTTAGTTCATGCATTCTTAACATTTGTAATATTATTGAAATTAATTAAAATTCTATTTTACAACTACTGAATAATATCAGTTAAAAAACAATAAGATTCGCATCATCTAAAATACTGTAATAAGAATGTTCTTAGAAATTGAAAGTTTTATATTTTGCCGAACTTGGTCATGGTTCAGGTTTCTGTTCACTAAAACAAAAAAATAATTATGATTGGTTATGAATTAAGGAAATGAAGTAAAAACACTACAAATGAAGTCGAAGCTTTAGTTTAGCCAAGTATTGATTTTCTTTACGAAGTTTTCATACCATATCAAGAATTAGAAACATAATCGGATTACTAAAAAATCAAAATTAGAAAAGTTTTAAAAGGTAATAAAATCCGTGATATCAATTGAAAATAAAATTCAGGTGCCGAGTGAAGATATTACATTATTTTACACGCAATTTTAGCTTCTTTCGCTCGATTGTTTAGTGTTTTTACTATAGTTTCCAGAAAACAATTTATAAGAAAATACATGTTATTGATTATAGACTACGTTAATTTTGCAACATACCTAACAATATTAACAAGACGTCTAACAATTTTTATTATTATAAAAGTATAGTCTAATGATTATGAATGTTAAATAAGTCAAAAATATTTGTTTTAAATTTATTTTTCTTTATATTAGTAGAAAAAAATAAAAATGGGTAAATAATTTGATCTGATGAACCGAACCTAAGGGCATCCACATCAATGAACCGAGAAGGGGAGTTCAAGTTTTTTTTTTTTTTGCGTTTATTTCTTTTTTTTAGAAAAAAATTAAATAAACGAACTAATCGCATGTGGCATGGAGCCCACGAAACAGTGATAACACGGGTCACTGTGCCGAACTTTTGCGAGATGAATTCATGAAGTTGTAATATGTGAGAACTCTCCATCTGAATCTTTGATGGGATGGTCTAACTAGATTTGTAAATAATATTAAATACTCCCTCCGTTTCGAATTAATTGTCATTCTGGAGGAAAAAATTCGTTTCAAAATAAGTGTCGTTTTAGAATTTCGAGATAAAATTTATTAGTTTTATATTATATTCTATTTTTCTATTGGTTGAAAAGTGGTTAGATGTATAGATAATTGTGTTTTTTTTCTTAAAAATATGTATAATTAAATGTTTTCTTAATCTGTGTGCAAAAACGTAGAATAACAATTAAAATGAAACGGAGGGAGTACAAACTAAAACTATTAAGTAGTCAAATGGATCTAAAAATGTAATATCGAGATAACCAAACTCGAATGTAATAGAAACTAAATTATTTTAGATATCAAAATATTTAATTCATAATCTATTCTATTAAAATAGAGTCATTGTTTTTATCTACTGATACAAGTTGTCATTACATTTGGACCCTTTCTAGAGTGTTACAAATAATATAAGTCATATAGTTAATTGAACCGTATTACTTAAATTAAACCGGTGGTTATTTAGGGGATATAGTTTTGGGCTTACTTTTGTTTTTAGAATAAATTATATGATTTGGTTTTTGGGCTTAATATTAAGGAAAAACTCCAAAAAACATTAAATAAACTTTCCACCTTAATCGATTAAAAAATCAATTATTTTTTCAGGCCCAAAAGGTATTTAAGATTTTTAACAAAACAAAATTGTCTATTATTAATTATTTATTTTCATTTACTTAAAAACATGATAATGTATTTTTTATTTTAAATAATAATTTTTTTTTTGACAAATTTCAATGGTAACTTTTAAATAATATATTATTTTTATTTTTCCTAAATAATTTACTGATTTAAAAAAATATGTAAAGCAAAACCAAAAACTAAATCTAAAAACTAAAATCCAAAACCAAAAGTTGAAAACGCAGGTTATATTTTTTGCTTTTGCTTATTTACAATTTTTTAAAAAAATCTTTTGTCATCTTTTCAGTTTTAAATTAAAATGTTCGATTATTTGGGATTTTTTTGTTGGTAATATCAGTTCAAAGTAACTCAGCGGATCTAAAAATTAAAAATTCAAACCAAAAGCTGAAAATAAAAAATAGAAACTTAAAAACTAAAATCCAAAAAATCAAAATCTAAAACAAAATCTAAAAGTTCGATTCTCGGCTTTCCATCGTCTACAAGTTCGATTCTCGGCTTTCAGCATCGCCAACATACCCATGACCAGGAATGTGCGTGCGGATTCTCTCGCCAAGGAGGCGAGATGCAGTGGTACTCTCTTTTCCCATATATATCAGACCCAGCTAGACGGAGCGTCTCTTCGGAACGACTCAGGCCCGACTACCACATGATCTTAAACAATGGGCGTCGACAAAAAAAAAAATCTAAAAATAAAAATTAAAACTAAAAACTAATGAAAAAAAATCATCACCACAAATTTTGGTGAACTGATTTTATACCAAAACATTCTTTAAATTAAGACAAAAACCTAATTATATAAATTTTTAATCATAAAAACTTTCCGCGCTTTTAAGCGCGGGTCAAAATCTAGTTATATACTAAAATATAATAATTATTTTAAATTTTATATCTATTAGATATTCGAAGACAAAACACAATAGTAAGCTCATAAAGCTCAATCGTTTTCAAAGGCGCGAAGGTACCAATTCTTCTCGTAGGTCTGATCACAGAGGATCTACTCTCATTCACACTGTGTCAGAGACTCAAGATTCAGACAGAGAAGAAAAAAAAGTCGTAAGACAAGGGAACACTCATTTGACAATCTCGAGGATATCCCGCTTCCATAACTAATCTTCAATCTCTTTAAAATTTGTCTTCTTCATTCGAATCAATCTCTTAACTCAGAAACCCAACCGGGCCACCAAATAATTTAATGAATTAAATGTATTTTAAAAATGTTAGCTTCATTGGTTTTAATGGCGTTATTGATTTGCCCTAGACAATGGGGCAATAACCCAGCAGACAAATAATTGCGGCAAAACGATAAAAACATTGAACAAAAGAAAAGAAAACTTGTTATCTCTCTTGAAATGGAGATTCTGATAAAGTTCATCTTTATAGGATTCTGGGTTTATGATTCTGTTTACGCCATGGATAGTCTCTTATCTCCAAAGGGTGTTAACTATGAAGGTAATGTTTTTCTTTTGAGGACATAATAAAATATTTTTGTGAAAAATGTTTATAAGCTTTTTTTTTTGTATTCTTGTAGTCGCTGCGTTAATGTCAGTGAAGAACAAGATGAAAGATGAAACAGAGGTCTTGTCTGGTTGGGATATAAACTCTGTTGATCCTTGTACTTGGAACATGGTTGGTTGCTCTGCCGAAGGTTTCGTTGTTTCTCTGTAAGTATCATCATCACACCACACCAAATGTCTCTTCTTCTTCTTCTTCTGCAAATTTAATTGTTTATTGAATCTCATTGTGCAGAGAGATGGCTAGTAAAGGGTTGTCAGGGACAATATCAACAAATATTGGAGAATTTACTCATCTTCATACATTGTGAGTAATATACTGTGTTTGATCTTTAAAGATGAAATCAATGGCTTATAACTTGGTTATATGTTTGTAGGTTACTGCAGAATAATCAGTTAACAGGTCCAATACCTTCTGAGTTAGGCCAACTCTCTGAGCTTAAGACTCTTGATCTCTCTGGGAACCGTTTTAGTGGGAAAATCCCAGCTTCTTTAGGGTTCCTAACTCACCTAAACTACTTGTGAGTTCTGATACAATGATTCTTGATTTAGTTAAATCTTGTGGTTTGTTAATATCTTCTTACAAGTTTTATAGGCGGCTCAGCAGAAATCTTTTATCAGGGCGAATCCCTCAGCTTGTTGCTGGCCTCTCAGGTCTTTCTTTCTTGTATGTCTTTTGCTCCACCTAACATTACACTTTATCGATATACTATTTCTTATAATGTATCTTTATGACTAATCTTTCTTATGAAAAAAATTGAATAGGGATCTCTCTTTCAACAATCTAAGTGGACCAACACCGCGTATATTAGCAAAAGACTATAGGTAAAATTTGTGGACAAAACACACATTATTATAATATATGTGAAAAGCTTCTTGATACATTGTACTGTTGTAGGATTGTAGGGAATGCATTCCTTTGTGGTTCAGCTTCCCTAGAGCTTTGCTCAGATGCTACACCTGTGAGGAATGGTATGTTGTTTTCTTGAACCTTCTCTGCAAAACTTAAACAGTTTTAACTTGTGGTAATTGATCTGCAGCATCAGGGCTGTCTGAAAAGGATAACAGCAAACATCACAGCTTAGTGCTCTCTTTTGCATTTGGCATTATTGTCGCCTTCATCATCTCTCTAATGATTTTCTTCTTCTGGGTACTCTGGCATCGATCACGCCTCTCAAGATCATATGGTAAACATCTCTCCAAAACTATCTTTTTGCGTCTGTCAGTGTCAAGACTTTTGTTAAAACCTGCTACCTTTTATGGATGTTACAGTGCAGCAAGACTATGAATTTGAAATAGGACATCTGAAAAGGTTCAGTTTCCGCGAGATACAATCCGCTACAAGCAACTTCAGTCCAAAGAACATTCTAGGACAAGGAGGATTCGGGATGGTTTACAAAGGGTACCTCCCAAATGGAACCGTTGTAGCTGTTAAGAGGTTGAAAGATCCGAACTATACAGGAGAAGTTCAGTTTCAGACAGAAGTTGAGATGATTGGTTTAGCTGTTCATCGTAATCTTCTACGTCTCTTTGGTTTCTGTATGACACCTGAAGAGAGAATGCTAGTGTATCCTTATATGCCTAATGGAAGTGTAGCTGATCGCCTAAGAGGTTACATACACTTAACACTTTTCTTATTTTGTTTTTTTTTTTCATTTATTTAAAAAGATAAAACATTTTTTATGGGTTTTATTCAGATAGTTATAGAGATAAGCCGTCTCTAGATTGGAACAGAAGGATATGCATTGCACTAGGTGCAGCTCGAGGACTTGTTTACTTACACGAGCAATGTAACCCGAAGATTATCCACAGAGACGTCAAAGCTGCAAATATACTACTTGATGAGAGCTTTGAAGCCATAGTTGGTGACTTTGGTCTAGCAAAGCTTTTAGACCAGAGAGATTCTCATGTCACTACAGCAGTGAGAGGAACCATTGGTCACATTGCTCCTGAGTACCTTTCCACAGGACAGTCGTCAGAGAAGACCGATGTTTTCGGGTTCGGGATACTGATTCTTGAACTTGTAACGGGTCATAAGATGATTGATCCAGTCAATGGTCAGATTCGAAAAGGAATGATATTGAGTTGGGTAAGTCCAAGAGATTGAATCTTTCTTTTACCTTTTTTTGAAATGCATGAGGCATTGAATTAAAGTGTTTTGGTTGTTTTGGGATCAGGTAAGGACATTGAAAGCTGAGAAGAGATTTGCAGAGATGGTGGATAGAGATTTGAAGGGGCAGTTTGATGATTTGGTGTTGGAGGAAGTTGTGGAGTTGGCTTTGCTTTGTACACTGCCGAATCCGAGTTTAAGACCGAGGATGTCTGAAGTTTTGAAGGTTTTAGAAGGTTTAGTGGAACAATATAGTTATGAGCAGACACAAAGTGGGTATGAAGCTAGAGGTCCTAGTGTTTCTAGGAATTACAGTAATGGTCATGAAGAGAATTCGTTTATAATTGAAGCTATCGAGCTGTCTGGACCACGATGAGACTTAAAAGAATTGACTATAGCAGAATATAGAAGAATGGTAATTCATTGGGTTTTCCTAGTTTTGTTGTCATTATCATTATCTGTAAATTATTTTATTTATTTTTTGCAAGTTTTTTGGTAACATTTTTCTTTGTAACTTTTTGTCTATTCTTTTGGTATTTTTATCTAAATGGTTACTGTAGAATCTAGAACTTTGGTATCTAACATGGTTTGCATGAGCTAATTTGTCAGATCTAAGAGAATCTCTTCTATCTCATCTATGTATCTATTTTTATAATAGTATTGATTTTTAAAATAATACTTTTATAATAGTATTTGGAGGCAAAACTATTTGAATTCACTTTTATTTCTTTAACTAAAACATAAATTATTACTTTTTCTTTATTTCTATAGGGAAAATGACTTTTTATTTTATTTTACATTTAAAATTTGATATTTGACGGAAGTGCATTGGAGTAACTCTGATTTCTATCATAGATTATTCTGTTTTAGAGAAAAATGGATAAAAAAAATTTCATCAAAATGTTATTTTATTATCAAAAGTCAAAACAAAAAAATAAGTTTGGGAAGGCACAAAAATAAAATAACCAACAAAAACAGATCAAGTTGAAACGATCTAGTAGTCTAGATAATGATCGCCAAATTATCCACAGGATCTGTGTATTCTCCACATTTCCAATGTTGTTTTTTTCGGCTAGAAGAGATAATCAAGATTTGTGTAAGCACTTGAAACCAGAAATGGAAAACATATTTGACAATGCATATGTTTGTAAAGCTCCCAGACATTCAAATATAGCATAAGAAATAGATTTATCCCCACATCTATAACAATTATTAGGACGTGTCAGATTTTTTTGTGACAGCCAAATGTCTCACTCTAACGGTCGGCTCCGAAAATTATGGGATCTAAGGCGATTTATTAAGATTTCACCTAAATTTTTTTTTTTGTACGGATTTGGAGGTCTAAAATTTTTTTATGGAGGTCTATACACATAATTTTTTTTAAAAAAATTTAACGACCAAAAATAATGTTTCATCCGAGTTTGCTCAATGCCGGCCCTGGACAGAGTCAGTATTTGGACCCAATAATCGGGTGTACTAATTAAAGGGAAAAAAAGTAAAGAAACCCTGAGCTTTTCATAAAACAAGAAAAGAACTCTAACCTTTTCTAGTGGGATTCTAAACCCTGATTTATACAATAATCTTATTATATAAAATTTAATTCTTTAAAGTTACTAACTAACATAATTCCAACATGTATCAATAAAAATTTAAGATTGCAACATATGTCAAAATATAATAATTTTTTATTAGAATTTTAAATAGATTTAGAAAAGGAAATTATTATTAAAAATATTATTTTACAATTTCTTTTAGGATTTAAAAAAAGAAAATTACTATTACATAATATTTTACAAAAAGAATAGCAACTTTAAAAATAGAAACTTTGCAGTAAAAAAAAAGAATTTTGAAAATAGCAACTTTTCAAAATAGTTAATATTAACTGAAAATAATTATTTGATAGTAATTCTATTTTTCTAAATCCTAGAAGAAATATAATTGCAAAAGATTATGTAATATTAGTTTTCCTTTTTCTAAAACCCTATAAGAAAAATCGTAAATAATATTTGATAGTAAAAATCCTAAATAAAAGAGATATTATCATATTTTTTAGGCTGTAGCTAAAAGAGAAATGTAAAAAGTTATTTGATAATATTTTTTAAAAAGATAACTTGATGATGAACATGATACTAATTAATAATTATTTAATTAACAACTTAAATTTTAAAAATAGTAGTGATACGAATTGTAAAAACAGTAATTTTAAGATTATTTAATACTAAAAATATTTATTTGATAATTATCTGAAACTATAAACATGAGATAATTATAAAATGTTATAAGATCATAATTTTTATTTTCTAAATCCTAAACCAAAAATGAAAAAGTGTATTTGATAGTGTTTTTCATATTTAAATATAAGTAAAATATTTATAAAAGAGAATGTTTAAAACTATTTAACTGACAAAATAAAAAATTATGATGTTTTTGTCACTAGTCTTAATTTATATCTGTCTCATATGAAAACCAGACACATGTTTGATATATATATTTTTGTGTTTGATCATAAAAATAGATTATTATTAATAGGGCTGGGTAAAAAAAACGAACCCGAAAATCCAAAACGAATCCGATCCGATAAAAAGGAACCCGAACTGATCCGAACCCGACATAAATACCGGATGAATCACGTTTTACGATATTTTGGGTTATGGGTTTTATCCGAACCGAACCCGAACTTAAATAGATATCCGAAATAACCCGAAACTTTAAAATTTCAAAAAAAACTTGTACCATATCTAATCTCAAATTCTAATATGTTTCTAAAACACATTAAGATATTATTGAATACCTATAATAATTAGTTATTATATGAACAATTAACTCAAATACTTAGTCTAATATATAGTTTTATTTGGTTGATATTAATGTTTATGTTTGACATTGCATTTGAAGTTTAGTTCGAATAAATTTGTTTTGAAGTTTAAACAATGTTGTTGTTTTTAAGTTTAAATAGTATTTCTTACGTTTATATAATTCTTAGTTGTTATTTAATTTTTTATCATTAGTTATGTATGATTGTCGTTCATAAAACACTTTGGTTTGTCATTAATCATGATATGTGTAGTGTTATCACGTATAATTCAAAGACAAATCTTATATGGTTAATAGACGAGTTTGAAAATATTATTTTGAAGGACAATAATATAGTTTGAAGAAGCTAAATACAAAAATTTATTAAAACGATTGAAAATATATTAAGTTTAATCAAGTATAAATTAGTATTTTTAGAACCGATAACCCGATTAGTATCCGAAACCAAAACTATTTCGGGTTCAGTTGGATCTTGGACATGTTACTAAACCCAAACCGAACCCAAGATAACCCAAACCAAATTCGACCCGAATGTTTATAACATCCGAATGGGGTTCAAATTTCTAAATCCGAAAACCCGAAACCCGAATGAACCCGAACGGAAACCCGATTGCCCAGCCCTAGCATTTAGGCTTAAACTTATTGATTATTATTTAAGATTTAGTATTTTTGAGGTAGAATTTAGTATATAAAGTTATATACAGCTTTCAAATGATATATATGATACTGAATGTCATATATTTAAAATTAAATTTGAAGAACTTCTTAGTTACCTTTAAATCTGTGTTTTCTTCAGCCTTATTACAACCTATAATAAAATTACTTATTTATTTATTTTAAGATTTATCACCACTAAAATATAGAATTTTTCACGAAACTATAGTTAAGAAGTTAAATTAAACAGTTATTCACATAATTCAGATTTATAAATATAATCTTCAACATGCACATAAATTCTATGACTTTTAAGACTTATCACCACAATGATATAGATCTTTTTTACTAAACTATAATTAAGAAGTTATGTTTTTGTAAACAATTATTTACACAATTAATATTCTAACATGCACATAGATTTTGTGGCTATAAAATGCATCTATGGTCTTCAACATGCACACAATTTTTTGTGGCTATAAAATGCATCTATGGTCTTCAACATGCACACAATTTTTTGTGGCTATAAAATGCATCTATGGTCTTCAACATGCACACAATTTTTTGTGGCTATAAGATGCATGTATTAATAATTTAATTATCATTAGTTACATGATAAAAGTAAGAACCCAAATTAATTTATTTGAGTTGAACAGTTAAAACTTATAGATTATGCAAACCAAAATACATAGATAATAATAAATAAACAGATATGTTTCAAGCACCCTATAATAACAATACAAATTTCACTAAATGACCAAGAAACATTAAATTATATTTAACCAAGAAGAATAACAAACAATAAGTTAATATAAAAATTAATTAGTATTTATGAAAGTGTATGATGTTGTCATTGACTTGATTAATCGTATTTAAGTTCAAATTTTGTTATTTCACTCGTATTCTTACTTCGGATTGAATTTGGTTTAAAATTTTAAATATAATTATTTTTCTAACACTAAATACAAATATTAACCAGAATTTATGTGGGAAACAAGTTTCACATGATAATGATAGGAACTGGGTAATCGAGATTCCAATCGAATTTCGGTTCGGGTTCATTCGGGTTTTTGATTTTTGGGTTCATAAATTTCATCTTCATTCGAATATTATAAAAATTTAGTTCAGATTCGTTCTGAGTTTAGTTGGTTCGGTTTGGGTTTCGTTACATGTCTAACTCATATTGAATCCGAAATAGTTTTGGTTTAAATATTAAGCGGGTTATCAATTCTAGAAATATTAATTAATTTAAATTCAGTATATTTTCAATAACTTTCTGTACATAACTTACTCAAACCATATTATTATTACTGAAAATAACTTTGGAAAACTCATCTATCAACAAGACTCTTCTTTGAACAATATGTGACAACATCATGATTAACAACTAGAAAATTCTTTTACCAATTATCATACATGATAAAACATAAACAAATTAAAGTCAACAAGGAACAACTCTATAAAAATTAAAAACACTATGTAAACCTAAAAACAACAACATTGTTTAAGCTTCAAAATCTAACGTATTCATAACTAAACAACAACATTAATATCGACCAAATAAAAAAAATATTAGATTAGTATTTGAGCTAATTGTTCATACTTATTTTAAGTACTCAATAACATCTTAGTGTGTTTTGGATACATATTGGAGATTAGATCGGGTTTGGTACAAGTTGTTTTTCAAGATAATTATTTTAGATATTTAATAAGATTTTAGTGTATTTTGGCTACATATTAAGGATTGAAATTGGACTTCGTACAAGTTTTATTTGGGATTTAAATTTTCAGGGTTTTTGGATATCCATTTGAGTTTGATTTGGGTGAAATCCATAACCTGAAATACCATAAAACAAAATTCATTTGATATTTATGTTGTGTTTGGATCAGTACGAATTCTTATCTATCGGTTTGATTCAGATTTTTCAATTCGATTTATTTGCTCAGTCCTAATAATAACACATCAACACCCATCCATCTTATAACATATACGGAAAATTTTAATCTATTTTTTATTATATGATTTATTTTATTATAAACTTTATTTTAATAATATAAATTAAAAAATAATATAGGATACAAAAATCGTTATCAAATATTTATTATTCAAAATTGTTAATTTTTTTTGTAACTTAAAATCATTAATTGTTTTAAATATCTTAATCACATTGAATAATTTTGTATTTTTCTTTTAAAGGAAGAAGTAAGAAATTTGTGTATACTAACAATTAATGTTATGGTTAGTTTAGTGCTACCATAGTTTATGTTTAGATAGACCAATATATATCTCTAAAGAATCTTTGAGAATGTTATTGGTTTGTGCATTTCAACGGATGAAATACAAACCAAATCTAGTATTATTGATTTTATCATTTTAAAATTGACATTTAAATCTTTATTTATTGCTTCTATAATTTTAAACTTGATTTTAGAATCATGTGTTATTTAATAATAAGGATTTGTTTAAGAATTTAATTTGGATTGGATTTGATAGGATTTGTAGGTATTTTTAAGAGTAAAATACAAATGATCAAATATTAAGTTGAACCTTGTTATTTTCAATGGATTTGTGTTATTGTTTTTTTTTCAGTTCCTTATATTTTTGTGTCCTAATAAACATCGGTTGATACATTGCCTCAAATTTTATATCTTATCTTTTGTTCATGTTTAAAACATTCATTACACACATGTCTTTTTTTTTTTAACTTTACGCACATGCCTTTCATACAAACATAGTATAATGCATACCAATAACCCTCACAAAAAAATATGGTGATAACAGATGGCATAGTTCAAATATGGCACTTAATCAATTTATCTTTTAAAAATTACTAGGAAAATGAAAATTTTATTAGAAACAAGAAAAAAAGAAAAATGAATTCTCAGAAACGATATTTAGTGTTTCATACGGTGAAAGGTTGATTCGAATTACAGATTCGAGAATAGAAATAAAAATATAGCTTACATGGCTCAGATTAGATTAAATACTAGAAAAAGGAGATCGACAACACAAAAAGGTAAGAAAAGGGAATAGGAAATTATTATTTTATTTTTAAGGAAAGAATTCTCATAGTTACTGTTTAATGAAAGGTTGATTCAAATTTAGTGATTTAGAGTAGAAATAAATACATAATGCATTATATCAGTTAACAAAATAAATCTTTCATATTTACCAAACTATATAAGAATATCGAAGCATATATTGTGTTTCAGTATATATAAAGAGCCAATATTCTAAGAAAAATACGTACAAGAAAGATAAATGGACTCTCTAAAACATCATGTTCTCTTCATCACGGTGATTCTGTTAATGAGTGCAACCATGTCTCATGCCCAAAAGACGAAAGTGGTGATTCATAATGATCTTGGAAGTGGATTATCGTTAGCCTACCACTGTAAATCGGGGGACAATGATCTTGGATACCTGCGTTTGGGAGTAGGTGGATCAGGGCTCTTTCGTTTTAAACCTGATATTTTTGGTCGTACTTTATTCTTTTGCAGATTTAGTTGGATAAACGAATCGCATTATTTCGATATCTATAAGCAGAAAAGAGATAGGGAGTTTGAGAAGTTTGGTTGCACAAACTGTGAGTGGAAGATACGCAAGAATGGGCCTTGCAAGCTTAACAAAATCACTAACATGTTTGATGTATGTCTTCCTTGGAATTCTTGATTTTTTTGTTTCTTAAAACTTTTAATATCTATACGTATTATACTCTTATTAAATTTGTGTTACAAATTATAATATAGAAGAATCTTTTTTTGTCAACTAATGAAATAAGTATACATAATTTAAGAGTTTGTGTATGTCAACGATAATGAGCACTTGTTTCTTTTTTGTTCAAACAATGAGCACTTGTTGTAAATAAACTCTACGTTAACAAACCGTCAACTAATTAAGAACGACAAACTTTTGTTAAAATAAAATTACACGTTCCTCAAATTATTTTTGATAGTCTTTTCTTCTATAGGATTTAGGTCAACCACTCAATATATATAAATTTTTATTTGATGAAGAACTAAACACAACAGAGGATCTTTTATAACGGGAATGAGGTACGGTTTTTTGTATCTCGATTTCTCCACAACTTTTATTATTTAGAACTCAAATTCCATATTATTATTTGAAAACAAATTTTATCGATCTTGAGTGATTTTTGGAGACAATTTTCACAAAACCTAAATTTTATTTATTGTTTTCATTGTGGAGTGATAACTTGAATTAATATGGTGTTGTTGAAGATGGTGAACACAATTTTGAAGATCTCACACGATAATGTTGCGGAAGATGACCTAGGAAACAATGACAATGGTTGTGAAAGTGATACAGAACCAAGTGAAGAATTGTTTAGTGTGCAGATGTAAGAGGGCAGTGATAATGACAATGACAATGGAGATGTGTCTGATGAGATGAATGCATTTCGAGTCGGCCAAGCTTTTAGTAGTAAAGACAATTTCAAAAAGGCGATAGATAAGTATGCTGTGGATGAAGAGAAATATACTATATAAAAGATCTAGAGCCATTAAAGTAGGTGTTGTTCGTGCAGAAGGAAGATGTCCTTGGCACATATATATATATATATATGTCTCAATTAACAGTTCAAGTAAGAATATGATTGTCAAGACTTTCATTGAAAAACACACATGCTCATGGAATGGTAAAGTTCAGTTATTAACTTCAAAAAAAAAAAGCTGATAAAATCATAGATGAGTTTAGAAGAAATTCTGATTTGAAAGCCGGTGAAATTGGGAATCGATTGCGGACTAATGATAGACTTTTAGTGTCAAAGGATAAATGTCGAGAGACAAGACGAATTTGTCTTAAAGCTATTACTGGCGAATATGAAGAACAATTCACAAGGATGTATGATTATGTGACTTCTTGACTAATGTGAGAGTGTGAATCTAATCTATTAAAACAGAGTTCTATTTGAAATTACCATGGCATTTTTTTTTTGGATTTATTGAATAAGTTGTACTAGATTTTATTGTTTTTATATATATTTTGTTAACTAGTTTCCTATCATATCAACATATCTTTAAATTAATTATTATTAAATATACATTATTTAGTCAATTAATTAAACCACGTAAATAAATATTATTTGGCAAGTTCAATAGATTGAAGTTTGTAATCAACAATAGACCAGAATATTTGATTTTTATATTAGAGTTCATCGTGCATTATAATGACTTAAAAAACATGTTATATTATAGAATGATTCACATATACATTATGTTATTTTCTTACAGAAAATTCTACCACAATGTATATATATGGTATAGTGTATCTACGAATTCACACATGTTCATAGCCAACTTTAAGTCGTATTGTTTCAAACAAATCACACATAAATTGATGTTTATTATTCAGAGTTAGATTACATTGTTATCATTTACTATACCTTAAACATGTTTCATGAGAATTATATATTTATTTATATTGGATATTTACGGTTGTATACTATTTTTTCTAACAGTATAAGCAAGATATATGGGAACAAAAAACTGTATGCAATCAAGATAGTTATTATGGATATAACATAAAATGTAAACAAATCTCTCATTGGTTGATAAATAGAACCAAAAATATTGTGTTTGCTTTCCAAATCCAGATATTTTTGCTTCCTGAACAATAAAATCTCAGATAATTTTTTTTTTAAAAGTCTCTGATAACTTTGTTGTCATATGTGTAAAGAATATTAATACAAAAACAAATAAAATAGTTGTTAATATAACAACAAATAAAATAGTTGTTCTTTGAGCTATTGAATGTTATATTTTAAATATGTTTTGAAAATCAGTAAATCTCAAGGTTATATACCTAAACATATTTAAAAATAAAAAGACATTAGAAAGCAAAATAAAAATTTGAAAATGTAACAAAAAATATAGCTACTTGAAATTCATAAGCTCGAATTGAACTCAAAATTTAACAGGGTTCTAATGAACCAAACCAAAATAACTTTAGTCAAATTAAACCCAAATTCATAAATAACTAAACAGTTATTATATTTCTTGAACTGAAACCAAAAACCACATCAAAACCGAAACCAAACCAAAAATCAGAAAATACAAGCTAGAATAATCAAATTGAATATCCATATCTAAATATATTATTTAACAAACATACATGTTAATAAATTTGTCAACAAAAAACAATATCGCGCTTTCAAAACGTGGGTACTATCCTAGTATTGATTAAAATACTCTTATTGTAACACTACGGGCTAGGGATGTTAAAAAAGGTTTTGTTAGTGGATTTTTAATGGGTTTTAGAAAAAAATAAATGTCCATTTAGACCCATTTAGCTTGTCGAGTTTTAAATGGGTAACCCTATTAAGACCAATTTACTAAATGGGTATTGACTAAAATTAATGGGGACCCGTTTAACCCATTTATAGTTTTTCTATAATTCAAATTTAGCCTATTTATTTTACTTTAAATAATCTTTATACAATAATTAATTTTATATTTAACCTAAAATCATTTTTTGTCAAATCCGAAAATAGAGTTTTCTCACCGAAACCAAAAATCGAGATTTTCCACCAAAATTGAAAATCGAGATTTTCTGCCAAAACCGAAAATAAAGTTTTTTCTCACCCAAACCAAAATTGAGTTTTCCCGCTAAACATGAAAAATCAAGATTTCCCGTCGAAATTTGAAAAATTGAGATTTCTGCCGAAACCGAAGATAGAGTTTTTTCCGCCAAAACCAAAAATAAAGTTTTTCTCGCCAAAACCAAAAATAAAGTTTTTCTCGCCAAAACTAAAATCAAGATTTTCCGCCAAAAACGTCATTTCTGGATTTTGACTGAAAAACATATTTTATCGGTTTTAGTGGGAAAAGGTAATTTTTTTTTATTTTGGCGGGAAAACGCAATTTCTCAGTTTTGGCGGAAAAACGCAATTTCTTAGTTTTGGCGAAAAATGAAATTTTACGGTTTTGGCGGAAAAACGTAATTTTTTGGTTTTGGCGAGAAAAAGTAATTTCTCGGTTTTGGTGAGAAAACGTAATTTCTCGGTTTTGACGGGAAATCGTAATTTCTCGGTTTTGACGGGAAAACATAATTTCTTGGTTTGGCGGAAAATGAAATTTTACGGTTTTGACGGAAAAACGTAATTTTCGGTTTTGGCGAGAAAGCGTAATTTCTCAGTTTTGGCAAGAAAACGTAATTTCTCGGTTTTGGTGAGAAAACATAATTTTTTGGTTTTGACGGGAAATCGTAATTTCTCGGTTTTTGCGGGGGAACGTAATTTTCGATTTTCGCTGGAAAACATAATTTCTTTGTTTGGCAAGAAAAATGTAGTTTTTCGGTTTTGGTGGAAAAACATAACTTTTCGTTTCTAGTGAGAAAACGTAATTTTTGGTTTTGGTGAAAAAAACGTAATTTCTCAATTTTGGTGAGAAAATGTAATTTTTCGGTTTGGCAGGAAAACATAATTTTAATTGGAAACAAAAAATTAGAATAAAAAGTCAACAACAGTTTAAGTGGATCTAAATGAATTTAAATGGATTAGAGTAAAATTATTAAATTTAAATAGATAGTCCTAATAGACCTATTTTTAAATGGGTCTAAATGGATATGAGTTATAAATAAGATGAGTCTTAAACGGAGTGGGTTTAAATGGGGTGGATTTTACCATATTATCATCACTACTACGGACTGTCACTAGTCTCAGATTTCATTACCCAAGTTACAATATTTTTTCGTATTAATCCGATAAAAATTTGTGTAACTGTTACTTAGAATTTTCAACATTTTTCAAATATTTTCTGCATTGGTGCGTTTCAGATGGCTCTCCTTGTACGTAGCTGTCCTTTAGAGTTTGCAGAAACGATTCATTCAAATGGTGATGTTGGTAACTGTACTCGTTATGGCCTTAAAAAATACAGAACTAGAAGGTAATCAAGTAAATTGGATACTTCATGATGCATGAATTCATGTCCGTCATTATCTATGCTTTGGATACTTCAAGTCTATTTTAGTGTTTGGATTTTATTTTAAATCATTCAATATTTTGGATTAAATACTTAGAACTCTAATTTTAATTTGGAAGAATCATCAAATAGTCAACACAAGTCTCAACTATGAATCATAAGCAAATCATAACTGGTACACATGAATAATAAGAACAAAACCTCTTGATACCAAATGCATTGGGTGTTCCAGTTCAGCTACATAGAGAGTTAAACTACACATAAAACAGGAAAAATTAACTAGCTAGCTCTTTTGATAAACAAAGTGCAAAGTAAACCAAGAGCAAACATGATTGGCCAAACCGAGAACCTATTGGGGAATCATCATTACGCGTGATGAATGAATAGTTAACGGCTGTGAGAATGGTTTGACACAAGGCGCAGATCAACCCAACAATATCTGGGAAGCTACCAAATCTGTTTGATCTTTCAGTTGGATAGTGAAACCAAGGAACGGGCAAACTCCACCTCCACACAACTCTCTCAACTCGGCCTTTATGAAAGAGATCTACGAGGCAAAGTAGACAAGATAAAAATGACATTGACATTGCAGCCAACGCATACAAAGGTTTATTAGTAGAAGAGATCTGGTCAAAGACACATGAAGGTATTTCCAACATGAGGTTAGTGATGACTAGAGACCATTCAATAATGACCTGTATAAAAACAAGACAAGCGCTTAATACGGTTCTTACATCTGTGAAAAGAATTAAATGATCTAAAGTAATATTGAAGAGTCATACATCACAGCTTATTCACTCAATCTCAAATATTTGGACATGGATTCAAATCACTTTGGTCAACAATTGTGAGCTACAAAACCTTAAACTTCATATTAAAATAACCTTTGTTCTTGACGCTCTTAGAAGTTTGTTCTCGATGTCAAGAGCTATTTCATTCACCAACATCTCCTCATCCCTAGCAAAAGAAAGATGTCTATTAAAACCTATAAGGCTATAACACATTTTAATGTTAGTATGAATTGGAGTTATACCTCAAGTGGGAAGTAGACCATCCAGGGAGATTAATGGCTTCTGTAAAACCCTCTCTCCATTCTTTAAGCTGCTCGGCTTTATCCGGTCGCTTAGCAAAGGCTTCTCCAAAGCTTCCTGTCTGATTTTCAATGTCCAAAGGATCAACATGGTAAAGGACAGGTATCACAATCTGACCGAACCTCTTTTTGCATTTCAAGATAGCTACAACTTCATCTAAACAAAATTTCGAATCTCCGAAGTTCTCTGAGAACACAATCACTGACACTACAAGAAAACGGTTGAGTACCGACCAACTGTTACGACCACGAAATGGTGGTCGTAATTTTACGTCCCTGTTACGACCAGTCAACAACCAAAAAGATATTGGTGGTAAAACCGAAGTAAATTTGGGACCACATAAATTGGTCGTAAAGCAGAAGTGACTTAACTTCCAATTTACGACCAAAAGAAAATGTGGTCGTAAAGTAGAAGTTTGTCAACTACGGAATTACGACCAAAACATTTAGAT